CATGGTCAAGGTCAAAGGCAGGTGGAACGTTTATTCCACCCAGGGTGACCACTACAGTTGCTTTCGTGTAATTCATTTTATTACTCAAAAATATACAATTTCATATCAAAAAGAAAAATTAGTAAGTTCGCTGGATGGGTTCTTCTTTAATGAAATGTTTCATCTCTCCTCCAAGGGACTTCTTCAGTCTGAGAAGTTTCAGGTGAACACAGGCTTATAAGCACTGCCTCCACATGGTGGACAAACAGGTTGGTGACATGCAAAAGAGGACCATCAGCCAAACAATAGGTCAATAAAGAAGAACCCATCCATAGGACTTACTTATTTTTCTTTTTGATTTTTCTTCCTGGATTGCTGAGATGCATCAGGACATACACTTTCTTGGTTTAAACTTTTGACATGTTTGCTATTTTACACTGGGAATAATTACGGCAGTGTTTCCCAATGCTGTTCCTTATGGCACACTGCCTTGCGTGTTTTGAAGTTTCCTCGTTTCAGCTGACTGCAGTTCAACAGAAGCCTGTTAATCAGCTTTCAATTTAACTCAGCTGTGTTGAAGCAGGGAAACATCTAAAACATGCAGGGCAGTGTGCCTTGAGGACCAGGGTTGAAAAACAATGCATTAAGGTGTTTATAAAATTTCCAMATTTTTGCATTCAATTTTTGATTATGTTTTACACAACATTCTATTTTTTTGGAATCAGGTTGTATTGTGTGATGTAGCCTATGTTAACATGAGTGTGTGCTGATTTTGTCAGGCTGAAGGCAGCCTTGGAGCAGATGGACCAGGGTGTTGTAGACCTGCAGGAGCTCCGCAGGAACCTGGAGCTCGCTGCAACCATGCTGGATGCTGTTTACACAGACGAAACCAGGTGAAACTGAGTTGGAGCAGAATGCTGAATTAAATAAAGTACAATAAAAGAAAATCTGTGACTGTTTCTTTTGATTCTGCAGGCGTCTGTTGGATACAGAGGATGAGCTCAGCGACCTGCAGGCAGAGTCGGTGCCAAGCGAAGTACGTGACTGGCTGGCGTGCACGTTTAGCAGAAAGATGGGTGTGTCCAAGCGTCGTCCTGAGGAGAAGCCAAGATTCAGGAGCATTGTTCATGCAGTGCAAGCTGGGATATTTGTGGAGAGGTAAGCATCGCTCCTGACAACTTACTTTCTATAGAAGTCTTGTGATTTAGCAATGCTTTAATCGAGAAAGTCTGAAATATATATTTTTATGCAATGTAACGTAAAATCTAATCACATCGTTTTTAGACACTTAATTCAAAAATCTAAATAGTTTTGCTTAAAAGGGATCTGACTAGAAAAAGAAGTACCACTCTAGTCAATTATGTTCTTATTATTCATGTTATAACACCCATTATGCACTACTGTATTTGATTTTATAATTTAGTACTATTTTAAAAATATTTTAGACTTCGCCAGCATCAAATGTTTTTGTGGAACCTCCTAGAATCCAATCAAAAGTCCTTCTCCACGTCCTCTCTAAATTTCTTGCTTACTTGAAACTTTACTTGAAGCTGAATTCCTTCTGGCCATCCTGTACCTATCAGCTGCAACCCTAAAGGCCTCCTTAGCTTGACAATCTCCTTTAGCACATGTATCCACCAATGACCCCCCTACCTTGCTTTTGTAACAGGCACCAAAGACCTTCTGGCCACAGCTCAGGGAATCCACATCTTCAACAGAGACCTTGAATATCATTCATTTGGATTATCTGCCCCCAACCTCCCTGGGGACTTTTGTTAACAGGGTCTTCTACCAGACATTCCCTGTTCACCACAGTACTGGTGTAGGGTTTCTAGGTCTGTCTGGTATGTTGGCCAACAGGTGCAAATGCTGCAAAAAACAACAAAAAACCCACTGCAAACAAAATAATATTAAATAAACAATAATAAATAAAATAAATGATAAAAAATAAAAATGCTGCATTCATAAAAC